CCCCCCCCCCCCCCCGTGCCAAGTCCCTGGAGGAGCAGAACTCCGCCGGCCTGGCCCGGCGCGCCTTCGATGACCTGTTCATCTGCCCGGTCCAGCGCGCGCCGCGGTACATTCTCCTCCTGTCGGACATCGCGCGGTCCACCTGGCGCGCGCACCCCGACTCCATGGCCATGTCCAGCCTCAAGTGGGACCTGGCCTTCAGCCTGCGCCGGGTGAATCTCAGCTCCAAGCAGGACGAGGCGCTGCACGCCTGGAACAGCATCGAGGCCCTGTGGGGCAACAGCAAGGCCTCGCAATTGCTCAGCGACATGATGAAAAAGGGCGCCAGCGGCCATACCCCCTCCTTCGTGGCCATCTACCGGGACTTGGTGGACCCGGGCGCCGGCCACCCGTCGGCCGGCATCCGCCAGGCAGTGCGCACCGGCTTCCTGGCTGCCAGTGGGTATCTGGCGGCGCCCGGGGCCGGGGCCGGGGCCGGGGGCGGGGCCAGCGGCGCCGGCAGCGCCGGCGGCCCTACCCCCCTGATGCTGGTCATCCACCAGGACATCGATGCCCTGGGCGCGCGGTCATACTCCTTCGGCTCGGTGGCCGAGCGCGTCACCGGGGGCTTCCACAATGACATGCACTCTTCGGACCTGGTCAGCGTGGAGCTGTCGCTGGCGGCCATCCTGCGCCGGGCCAGCCCCGATGCGGGGAGCGTTTCGCCGACCGAGGTCAGCTCGGGCGCGAGTGGCACCGGCGGCAGCGGCAGCGGCCCGTCCACCCCGGGCGGCGGGCTCCGCCCCTCGCGACCCTCGGACTCGGCACTCAGTGATTATGCCGGCTCCCCGCCGCCCTCAGCCGGGGGCGGCACCGCCGAGCCCAGCAGCCCGGACCTGGCATCGCCCACGGGCGCCGAGCTTGGCACCCATGTGGCCCCGCTGGCCCCGGGGCCGGCCCTGACCCCGAGCCTGGCCTCCGTGCGGCCGGCCTGCCTGTGGACCTCGTCCGGGCAGTTTAGCGCCCTGGCCCCGCGGCCGATCCCCACCGGGGCACAGGTGCGCCCCTCTCCGCGGCTTTTCCCTTCCTTTGGATCCCCCCCCCCCCCCCCCCCCCCCCCCCCCCCCCCCCGGCGGACCCGGGTCTGCGGCCCCCCCCCGGAAGGCCCCCCTCCCCCCCCCCCCCCCCCCCCCCCCCCCCCCCCCCCCCCCCCCCCCCCCCCCCCCCCCCCCCCCGGGCGCCGCCGCATGCAGAACGCCAGCCGCGCCCAGCTCCTGGCCTCCTGCTCCTTCCTGCTGGAAGCGGCCCCCGGGTCGTCGGGCGGCACCATCAAGTGCCACTTCGCACTGATGCCCTCCCGTTTGGTGTTCCTCTTCCGGCAGAAGGTCCCCTCCCGGAGGCTGAGCAGCCACCCCGGCTCGGCGGTCGCCATCCCGGGGAAGCTCATCAGCACGGTGACCCGGTCGCGGTCCGGCGGGGCCACCGGCCCGGGGGCCGACTCGTGGGAGGAGTTGCCGGCCGGGGGTGGCCCCCCGGCCGGGCCCTCGCGCGGCCCCTCCAGCGAGGATCTCGCCGCGTCGACCCCCGGCACCGGCAGCACCACCCTGACGCGTGCCCCCTCCGGCACGGCCCTCTCGCGCATTGGCAGCAGCTTCCGGCGCATGAGCAAGAGCAGCGCCGGGGCCGGGCAAGACCGCGCCGGGGCGTTTGACGCCCCGGCGGCCGGCGGCTCGGCCGGGACGCCCGGCTCCGGGGCCGGCCTGGCCCCGGCATCTGCGGCGCAGGCGCTGGCCGCCGCCGCCGGGGCCGGCGCCAACGACCCCGGCGCCTTCTCCGACACCTGCTGCACCGTGGTCCAGGCATACGGGTGGATCAGCCTCCGGGACATGGTGGAGGTTTTCGCCCCGGGGTCCGCGGCGAAGGAGTCCTCCCGCGTGGGGGCCCCCCTCATCCGGGCGGCCTCCTTCGCCGGCGGGGGTGCCGGGCCCGGTGGGCCGGGCCATGGCCACGCCAGCCCCGGCGGGGGTGTCGGCGCTGCCGGGGCCACCGGCCCGGGCTTCGACACGGTGGACATCACCTTCCGCATGGCGCACTCGGAGGCGTCGGCCCTGACGGCCCTGGCCCAGGTGTCCACGCCGGATATCAGCCTCCAGGAGTCCCCCTGGGCTCTGCATACCATTCGCATTCGGTCCAAGGCCCCGGCCGAGGGCGGCGACCTGTATAATGCTCTCATCTCGGCCGGCGCGCCGGCGCGTGTGGTTGACGTGTGAGCCCTGCCGGTGGGGGAGGGGGGGGGGGGCGGAGTCTTCGCCGGGGGTAGGCAGACGCGTGCGCGCCCACAAGTGTGTGCCCCCCCTCCCCCCGGCCCCGCCCTCCGGCTGGCTGCCCCTCCCTCTCCCCCGTGCATCCCCCCCCCCCTTCTTGCGGGGTCAATACACCTCCTCCCGTACATGTCTCCTCCCCGTTGCCCTGTGTCCATCTTGCTCGGGTCCGCCACATGGGAAGGGGGCGAGGACACCGGCCAGTTGCCATTCCGTGGGCCCCCCTTTCCCGGTCCGAAAAGCAAATACACAAACAAGCATGTGCCCCTGCATTCCTGTCACGCTCACATCGTGAGCTTGTGCGCCAGCAGACGTGCGCGCGTGCATGCCGAGGGGCACCGGGGGAGGCAAGTGCTCACCAGCGCGTCGAGGATAGCCACTCGGCCGAGAGCATCGGCCCAACGGAAAAGGGCACATCCGGCGAGGCATCGGCCAGGGGGATGTCGTCGGTCTCGGCGTCGATCGGGCCCGGGGCCGGCAGACCGCGGCCCTCGGGCCCGGCATCGATGGTCGTCTGGTCGGTGGCCACCAGCTGCAGGCGCCGGCGGAATACCCGGACCTGGACCTGGCACAGGTTGACCCACCGGCCGACCAGCTGGCCCAGGATGGCGATGCTCTCTTTCGGAGCGGGCCGGGGCATGATGTGGCGCGGTCAGCGGGCAGCAGTCAAGTCAAGGCGCCCGGGCACCGGGAGAAAGAGAGGGGGGCGGCGGGGAGGGCGGGGGGCGGGCAGCCGGCGCACCAGGATTCGTCACCAACAGCGGCAGGGACCCGGACGCGTCGCCCACCACAAACTCGACGGCCTGTGTTTCCACCGGGTCCAGGTAGGCCGACGCGTCGGATGTCCCGCCCGGCGGACCGCCCACGGCCCAGGCCGATGCGGCAATGTGGTCTACAAACAGATGGAGCCGAACCGGCCGATCGGTCGGCTGCAGCGAGGCAAGCGGATGCCGGGCGTTCATTGGGCAGGGGCAAGGAGGGGCCAGCGCGGGGGAGGAAGGCGGGGGGGGGGATATCGACATGGAGCCAGCCCCCACATAGGGGGGCGCGCTTTGGGGCTGGGCCTCGGGGAGGACAATGCACGCGCATGTGTGTACGTGTGTGTGGGGGGGTGTATTTGCGAGCCTGCGCCGGTGGTGGCACATCGGCGGCGGTGACGGCGACGCCCCCCCCCCCCTCCCCACGCGAGAGCGAGCGACACTAGACAAAAGGACAGGCACGGGGGCCGGGAAGGGGGGAAGGAAAAAAGAACGATCTTGCTTCGACCGGCGGGCCGATCGCCCGGCAGGGAGCTGCCAACGGTTGTGTGCCCGGCGCTGGCGTTGCCAACGGGAGCCGGCGGTCCTTGCTCCCACCCGCGGCGGGCGAAACTGCGCCCTCTCGCGGGGAATGCACACGCGCTCTGCCGAGGGAGACCGGCACGATGCGGAAAGGGGGGGGGGGGGGGGGGGGGGGCCCGGCCCCGTGCGCGGGCCTGCCACACCGGCCCAGCCGAGCCTACCACTCGGCCAGCTGGCGCCGGCGACGGTCTTCATACTCATCAAGGACAGACAGGATGGCCGGATAGCCGAAGTACGGGTGCGCGGCCACATCGCGCGCCGTGAGCCACGGCTTCCCCGGCTCCAGGAGATCCCGCAGCAGCGGCACGCCCTTGATGGTTTCCTGCAGGGCGCGAGCCGACTCGGTCTGCCGGCCGGGGGGCCAGCGCTGCAGCGAGGCGTCCGAGCCGGCCTCCAGGAGAAGCTGCACAGAGACAACCTGTTGCTCGGAGGGGGGGGGGGGCGGGGACACGGGGCGGGGCG